ATCACTGGGCTCAGTTGGATGCAGGGTGACAGTACCTTTTACATTTTCCCCCCTGATATCAGCACCCAACAATATAGAGAAGAGGAGGAGATTGGATTTATACCCCGCCCTTCACTACCCAAAGGTGTCTCAGAGTGGCTTAGAAACTCCTTTCCCTTCCCCTCCCCACAACAGACACCCTGTGAGGTAGGTGGGGCTGAGAAAGCTCTGACAGAAACTGCTCTTTTTCAAGGACAGCTCTTATCAGAACTACGGCTTGCCCAAGGTCATCCAGCAGGTGCAAGTGGAGGAGTGGGGAATCAAACTCTGTTCTCCCAGATTAGAGTCCGCGCACTTAACCACCACACCAAACTGGAGAAATTTTAGGGGAGAGCAGTCTACTTTTTCTCCTTTTTAACATTCTACTTTATATACAGAACCTTATTGGTATCACACTGTTTCTAAACCTGAAATGGCCTAGCTGCCTCCTCTACGCAGACTCATGTGCAGACATTGTTTTTATAAGGACCACAGGTAGCACATTTCAAAGTAACACCATGACTGCAGAAACTGCTGCCAGCCTTCTGTGTTTGGCAGTTTCACACAACACATTTCTCCCACCTAAGTATCTCTGCACATGCCTAACAATGGGTTAGTATTCCCATCAGCAGCATCTTATATACGAACTGGCTAAATGTTGTCTCTTCCTTAGAAAAATGTTAAAGATCAACTCAGCTTTTCTTGTTCTGTTTGCAAAGTTTCTTACAAGCTGAAAAGTACTGCGGGGGGGGGGGGCAGCGTACTTCTCATGACAAGGGACAATAGCCAGCAGCTGACCCACGGACCAGCAATACTCTTTTGACACATCCCTGGAGAAAGAAAAAGTTACCCCGCTCTAAAATGACACAGCATGAGCTCTCCACTCCCCACAGCTTTTTAATGGCCCTGTAATCCAATACTTTTTTTGCAGAGGTTGTTGAACTTATTTGTTCAAGTGTTATAATCACTTATGTATCAAATTCCCAGTAATAACTACACTGTGTGGATCAAAAGCTGCAGCCAGCCAAGATTAGTTTTCTGCCAACACAGGGAAAACCCCAGGTTTTGGTTGTTGTTTTTTTTTTTGGGGGGGGGGGATCCAAACAGATCTGGATTTTAGACCAGAAGATCTGGACCGGGCATTACAAACCGTGGTTGGTTGGCTTAGACTGAGTTGACTGAAGCTGAATCCGACAAAAGACGGAGGTCC